CCCCAAAACCCCAAAACCCCAAAACCCCACAGTAGAAATATGCTATTAAAAGTAAAGTAAATTTGTTTAAATTGATTTTAAGATAGGTAACGTTTTATTTAACTTAATCTCGCAAAAATTAACAATATTAGAAGATGAACACAAGTAATTGTTAGAGTCTCATAATTCCAAATTTGATTTGAATTATTTATCAACTACTACATGGTCAAGCTAGTTTAGATTCAGAAATTTGAATTTATTGCTCGACTAAGATTACGAAGCCAAATTATTTAGATGACTCTACTTTGTTTATGATCTGCCTCTACTAGAGTTATTCAAATGATCAGTCGGTGAGTTTTCATCTTTACTTAATTTGAATTCTCCAACATTTTGAGATGACACCATATTACTTGCTATTCGATCTAAATTTCTCATATTACTAGGCCTTGGTGCTATCTAATTTTTAAGCTTTAAGACTCTTTCATTGATCTCTTCTCTTTTCTTGAAGTCAATTGGAGGTAGAAAATTAGATATCACTCTTGATTTCCAGTACTTCATTGCTCTATCTCTCTTGTCTTTTTAGTTTGCATAAGATATGTTATTAATGTTCAGTCTTGTATTGTTCGCATACTCTCTGAAATTTATCTTTGACATTCTCTCAGCGAATAAATCGCCCCCTTGAAGCTGAAGTGATCTTAAATATTCTTTCTGCAAACTATAAAATGTATTAAAAATTTGTAGAAATATTTTACAGCCTGTCGTTTATATTTTGAGGTGTATAATATTAGTTTCTTTGAATTAGACCACCTGCTAAAGGAGAGTCGGTCTAATTTGTGACCATAAAGTTTGATTTTTTAAAATTATCAGTTGATTCTAAATTATTTGTTTGGGAAATTTACTCATGAAGACTAATATATCTTTACTAATTTTAAGTTCTCAGTTTTGGCAATTATTACACACTCATAAATCGTTTCTGATTAAGTGGTATTGAGGCACTTATTGAATAATTTTTCTATTTTTAGATGACTTGTTAAGGCTAAAACGATATATTATTTTAACTTAATTTTCTTAATTACATCTATGCTTAAGTGTCATCTTAGACTAGACTACCCTATAAATAAATTACTTTATCTTAAAGCATCATAATCTAGTTGGTTAAAGCAGCTATTTGATCAACGGCATGAATTTGGTTCAAAGAATTTAAGGGATGAAAGTTTTATTATTGATTCTAATTTTTAGGGCCGAATGATCTATTGTTATTCCTCTAGCCTATTTATTGAGGTTCATTTCTGGTGTCTAAATCCATTCTGGAATGATTTGTTGTCTTGGGTGGAGATTAATTATTTAATTGAGCTTCTTATAATTCTTTGTTCTTTACTTTCAGCTTTTTCAGCTTTTTCAAAAATATGTCTTACATCTAAGCCATCTAGTTCATGATATTTTCTTGTAGTCATAGAAGTTTCTCATCTTGATTTACATTTGACAAGGTATTTGGTACATTCTCATCACCGACTATTTATTCATCGAATTCCTTCTTCTTAGATTTCTTTTTTTTCTTTAAGCTTTTTTCTTAAATTGAGCTACTTTTAATAGGCTATTCCGCTATCCTTTTGTCCTATTAAGAAGTTTTACTGCCTCTGCTATACTCTGAATCTCGAATCCTTTCCATACTTCCACCAGTAGGAGGCAACGGACTCTTTCTTCCTGTTTTATAGACAATTTCTTCTTCTTTTTCTTCATCAACCTAGTGCCTGTGATTTAATTAGTCCTCTTCATAATGACTTTCTTTTTCATTATCGTACTAATATTTTGAATTGGCACTCTTGTCTTAATAAATAGAATTCATTTGCATAGGCTGAGTAATTTTCTTTTTCAACTTAGATATCTTCAACTTTGTTTTTGAAATATTTCTTATATCAAGCTGCCTTAGTTTCCCAGTTGATGATAGCTCAGTTTAATCTTTAACAGGCAAGCTCTTTTTCATTAAAGTTAATAATCCAAATATAAATATATTTAATCCAGTTACGATATTTATTATTCTACTCTTATAATTCTGTAATGTAGTGTTTCGGGGTTTTGGGGTTTTGGGGTTTTGGGG